ATAAATACCATCAATTATTGTACATATATCTTAAAAGTTTCCATTTTTGAATGAACCGTTCAATTTTGCTCACTTCATACAGATATGTAGTAAAAACATTGAACAGAGGTTTCTTTTTTTTTTTTATCTTACAACGATTTGGATAAAACCGGGAAGCTAGAAGTTTACAGATACACAATTTGTTATAAAAATTACATACACATCCCAACATGCAATCTCTTTTGGAAAAGTTAAAATTTGTTCCTGTTTTCGAAGATATTCACCTGTTCAGAGATTCTCAAAACTGCTGAACAATTTTACAATCATAAAAAAGTGGCTAGTATTTTCAACATTACAGAAATCACATAACTTCGATGAAACAAGTTCAAATTTAAACAATCTATCGTTTAGTACTATGGCAACATGGAACATCTTCATATGAAATGATTGCAATTTAGTTTCAACAGTACAATATAAAATATACATATACATTTTATTCAAATTAAAGTCATTCTTTAAAAAAATCAGATCTGCCCATTTTTTTCTTGATGTAGCATAAATTTGATCAGGTTCAATATTTCATAGATACCTTTATTTACTTGTCCCGATTCGAATGTTTCAGAATAAAAATGAGATGCATTCTCTTCAAGGTCACTTAATGCACTAAAATCAATACAGTGTCCAATATTACACAACCAATAATCAGGTACTCCAGTGAGGCGAAAATAATTTACATATGCTTCATCACTATATTGCATGCCATATTTTTCAGTCAATTCTCTATAAGTAAACAAATTACCCACATTTGCTAAGTGTTTTACTTCGTTTATACCATGATCATACCAAGACTTGATAAAAAATTGTTGTACCCTATAGGTTGATCAAAATTTGACATTTTTCAATTAAAAATTACATTTTTATGGAAATGCCAGTTTTTAAATACATTTTGTATGAATGTTAAAGGTAAATGCTTTACAACATATGAACTTGAGCTCAATTTTACTTCAAGCATTGTTTAAAACAGTAATTGTCAGCACATCCATCAAGCCATTTTCCACATTGGGTTAATTTCCTCGTTCAAGAGTATTTGATGTATTTCATATTCTGGGCAATAACAAATTTTTTTTTCTAAATCTATCATATTTATACCTTCTATTTCTTCGGGCCAATCCAGGTATTTCGTTTTATCCGCTCCCAAGTTGAACCCCATACAAATACATATATAGTTCTATTTAATTCAGTTGAGAAACATCAATTGGTAACTTGTGTTTATGACGTTGGAGATGACGAGTCATTCTAATTCTCCGTGTCAAAATAAGATGACAATTCATTCTCATTTCTTTATTTTTTTTTAAAGGTGATGAGACGTTTTCTTTTTCATCCCATTTTTCCACTGTCCTATTTTTCTTCAGCTGAGGTCGTGCTAAAGAGCGACGGTTAAAAGCTACCTTATATTGATCAAACCATTGAAGAATATCCCCTGCCGATCTCTGCAATGATGCTATTATGGCATTTACATCTTCTTCAGTTGAATGACGCTCCTGGATTTCACATTCTCAAACCAGATGTTTGAACATAGTATCCAATTTTTTTATTCCCTAGTTTTACGCCTTTTTCCATCAAGAGGCGACTCGTTCCAACCATTACGTCTGCGCTGAAGTATCGAGAGAAATATTTCTCGACGGGCATAGAACCTATATGCGTTTTCAACACCTTGAAGTTAAATCTATTTCCATTGAAAGCAAGAATACACAATGGTTGTGTCTGCCGTTTCACAAAATCAGCAATTAGTGTGTTTGTGAGCAAACTCCACGGTAGTTTCTGACGTAGCAAGAGATCTTTCCGTGTTAAGTCAGTTAGGTCTACTGCTACTGGTTCGACGGTTCTTTTGGGGTCGACAGATATTCGAATCTTTTCCTGTATCACTGAATATGGATTCACATTTTCAGTGACATCGAGATGGCATCTCGCAACGGCAGACATACAAAATTCTGTGTTTTTCGATCTCGCAAGTCAGTAGTTTCTAGGTCGAATATGACATAGGTTGCCATTTTTGAACTTTCTTGGCCATCTACCTTGCTATTATCTCATCTACAAGCGGATTATCAACTCTAGATTTTTGATCGCTTTTAGAATCTTCCTCCTGATTTTCGCACGATGATCGGCACTGGAAATTTTTGAATTCTTTATACATGGAGACGACCAAACAAGCTTTAGCTAAAACAGTTGCACTTGACATAGCGTTTGTTTTGTTTTGCGTGAAAGCTTGTTTAATGCTATTCTCTTTACGTACAGAAGAAATTACACGAGCGACCCCTTCAAAGTTCACCTGGTATATATTTTCTGCATTACCGATTTCATCAAAATAATTTATGAGCATTGAAATATCACATTCTGCAGACTTACGCCAAACAAAACAAATAAGTACAGTTTGTAATTTTAAAAAGTTTTCAAATATATTTTTTGAATTGCTTTGTAAAATTTTTTTTTCCGGATCGGAATTTAATCGAAGCAACAACTTATCGTGAATTCTTGGCATCTGGATTACTCCGTCGGTTGGTGGCTTTTTAAATACATCGAGAACACAGACAACAATCAACTCAATTTCGTTGTGTCTGATTGACTTTCACGAGCAAATGATGTAAATACAAAGCTTCTGATTTCACATAATTTCATGTTTTAATTAATATTTATATTTATTCTTAGTATAGTTCATTACAACGCCATCTAATGTGTGCATCAGTCACAAAACGTTGACAGATATTGGTTTAGAGTCACGATATTAAAATATGTAGACAAAAGGACGGGGAGCAATTCGAGTCAACTGCTTGGAAATCGTCCTTTTCAATCGTTTACAATTGCTATCTGCTTCTGGCGTAGTCCCAACCTTGACTGACTGCTCGCCCAGCAGAACGTTGTCATCATATATTTGTATACAAGTTGTAATATAGTGTACAGCAAATCGTCAATAGGTCGGAAGCCCTAAAAGTAAACATTAAAGATTCGCACGTGGGAAACTGAGGTTCATAGTTAATAAAATATCATTAGGTGATTCAGAGTATTATAATGAATAAACGAACCCGATCTGCATTTTCTGCGGGACGTACAATATTATTCATAATTAACACCGCTGTATTATACTTCAATTAACATCTTTGGATGTTCACTATCGTTAAGCCTAATCATGATGTTTATTGTAACCATTATCCCCACTTCCATACTTTGGATGTCTACGTCCTCGTGAACTACCTCTTAAAAACCACAATGCAAACAGACGTCGTCCGGTTCGGCACATCTAACGTATTGCAAAGAGTGAATATGTCAGTAATCCACGGCGATCATCTTGCAATACCAAATTTATTCAAAATGTACACTTAAATATACTAGTAGTCAATATAAGTTTGAGACTTTAAATATGGGGTATCTAATCGATCTTGTGGTTCTTTTTCGTATCCAACTCACCATCAATAAGTTTTCAAATTTTGGAAAATCATGCCGAATCTATTTTAGAGCTCGGTATAGATAATATAGGCAAACTTCGCCCGCGGAACAAATCCGTCCCGTTGGGAAATATAATATGGCCCGCCAGATGCTGCCATGAATTTATACTTTTAACCAATCATACACTACAACATAGTTGTTGCTATTAAAATTTGTATGGTGCCATAGGCTTGTTAGATTATGATCGCAGTCTGTGTAAGTTTTATTTTAGGCTGCCACAGACTTTCATGTCATGGCCCATGGGTAAGGTTGCTAAGTATGACTACTTACAAGTATTCGAATCTTAACTGATTCCTAAAATTTCGATTCCGAGAGCGAAGTTCAAATATATGTACGGACAAGAAGGCCGAAACTAAGTAGTATGAATGTTCAATCTGTCACAGTAGACAAAATCGCAAAAAAAAACGAATTTCTAAGAACTCACAGATATTTTGGAAATAAATAAGCGTAAAAACCTTCTAGCGAACATACATATATACAGTGAAGTTTGACGTCGTAGCAACTCAGCATAGCAGTGAAGAAATTTATACATATATGTGAAGGACTTGCCATAAAACGTTACACATTGCAATCCAAGTTTTAACCTTGAGAATCGATTCCAATGCATCGGAACCGATTCTATAATCAAATCCAGATTCGATTCCGCCATCCCTAGTCATGGGGACGTTAACAAAACTTTACGGTTTCTTACTCACTCAATTTGACGATGTGATTTTCACAACTCTTTTATTCGCCTGGTGCGCAGCCTAGAGTATTATTTTAATGCCGACAAAGTTATATAAAGTTTCCATAACGCTCTCCTAACGTTATTATTTGTTCATAACTTACGCATGCTTGCCATGTAATTTAGTCTATCGTTTCCCGATGATTTCCAAATATTCTGTTGCTGCATCACCTTTCTGTATCCAAATTCGTGAACACTGATACACTGTAAAAATTTTTGTAATTTTACAGCCATTTCTTTGTAAAAAATACGATCGTTTGGCAGTATTTTGGACGAGCAACTAATTATACGTATTTTTACATCATCGTGTTGTAATTCCACCGCTTGTACGATGTAAAATTACATATACTGTTGCATAATCATAAAACAAACATACGGTTGTTAAATATACAATGAATTATACGTAACATACAAAAACGGCTGTACTGAAAACAGCTATCTCGCGGTTATGTTAAAATAAGTCCACTTGGTAGTAATCAAAAGCATGGAACTCAGAAGACAGTCTTCCACATATTATCAGCAAAATGCATGCCAATAAAAAATACATTGGTGCGACGAATTTGGTTCCAAACTGATACAAATTTGGCTTCGCGTCTTAAGGCGCAAGTCATACAATGCTACGTAAACCTGCGGCTTCGTATGTCATCTCGACATAGAATTTATAGCTTACGATAAAAAGAAATCCTAATATTGCACTTAATATTATATCGAGTGGAAGGATATTTTATTTTAGACATCATGTAAACTGGTGATTCAACTGACAGCACTCATTCTCAAACGGACAGGTCTACTTGCAGTCACGACTCCAACTACTGGTGAATCTAGTAGTTTTACGCTGTATCGCTATATCTTTTATCGGACCAAAGTATATGCAAATGTTTTGGTTAATATAACTTTGAATTGAGTGGCATATTTTCTTAATTTAACTATTTGCTTAATGCTCCTAAGTTTTAGAAATATCTCAGATCGCAACGGATTCAAATTTTGAATTTGAATTTTCTGACTCCGCCAAAGCCGGACGTACTTTCCCGCCAAAATGGCTGTTTAGTGCGGATTCCAGTTTCGCTAGGAAGCAGCTTGGCTTGGTTCGACTCTCAAAACAATTGAAGTAGCCTAGTTTGAAAGTGTGAACCTGTATATTTTACACTATGCTGCCTGAAGGTTGTAAAACAGAAAGTATGGAGAAAGAAATACCGTTACCTAGGTTGTAAACTCTGGACTACTGGTGCTTGTAGACTACCGGTAGATCTTCAGGTTTTGGAAGGTGAGTTAATTTATGCCACATCTGTCATTATTAATCAATTTTGCATTAATTGGATTGGCCTGTTAACTACAGCATTGCCGTACTAGATGTCCCATCCCTGCATTTAGACAATGAGCTATTGTAGGCCTACAGTACCATATTCTGTTATTTTACTTTTAATTGCTCATGTTTAATCTTTGTTACCGGTATTCTATTTATTGGAGTTCTAAACCAAGGTAGTCTACACCAGTGATTCCCAAAGTGCGCGATATCGCCCCCCGGTGGGCGAAAACGATACAGAGGGGGGCGAAAAATTCGAAGGGGGCGATTTCGCGAAACCTGTTTTTGTTCGGCGCATCGTGCACTCATTCTGTACTCTATGTGAATTCGCAGGCTTGAATCACGTGGGCGATTATCACACGCAAAATGATTGCTTGACTCGTCTTCGCAGTAAGGTACAGTAGTTTGCGTATCCCAGTGGTCGGCAAAATACGGCTGGAGTAAAATAATCTGGCCCGGAACGCTTCACTGAATGGACCATTCCCCGACCTTTGACTGCGGAAAATTCTTCCTATACTTTACCATTTTAAAATTTTCGGTGCTCATTTTAAGAGTGGTTTCGCGAGTTTCTGCCTGTAAAATGGGATATTTGTTTCAAACTAACATTCTAATTCATACCATCCAACAATCTGTTTTTAAAAAATACTGATGAAGTATTTTAGCCTAGTCTATCATAGCTATTTCTACACTAAATTTTGATTACTGTATTTAAACTGAAAATCATAAGAAGACAAAGTAATCATTGACTTATTTGATTTATATATAAATTTCCGAAAAACAACTAAAAACTAACGAATATAATTCAAAAACGCGAAAATGGGGTAATGTTCACGACCACGCCTGAAAATCTGTCTGAGAGAGTGTCTGAGCGGATGCGGAAGAGGGCATTGTTACGTTTATTTTTGCATCTTGCTGATTGGCCAATGTCACGAAGTAAACAAGGAAGTCTATGCCCGGAGAAACATCCAAATGGCGGTTTTGACGATGAATTAATATTACCCATAATCTACGCTCGAGGAGTAAATTGCATTTTTTTACGTAACAGAATTTATCGTGAGACACGTTTAGACTAAATTTTATTATATCCTGAAAATTCTATCGAACAGCTAGCTACTCGTGTAACGAGCCTACAATTTAATTAATTATAATTAGACAAATGGAAACACGGAAAAAGTTGATGCTGAGGGCAGGGGTTCAATAGCGCAGTAAATATTCGAATATAATGCAATGGTGAAATGCTATAAGGCAGGGGTCACCAAACTTTTTTGACCGCGGGCCGGATATGACTCAAATTGTGTTGAAACGAGCCGGATGAATATTTTTGTCAATGCAATACAATAAATTCACAAATGTTGGGAATATCGCAGAATATAGATCGAGAACATCATAGGAAAAAAAATTAACAAGATTTCTATATCTAGACAACTATCCTGAGTTTAGCAGTTATCAAAACGTTGCTGTCATGAATTAGAAATGTTACAAAATCCGCGGCAAAAAATGTACGCATCACTTCTGCTAAGTACCATTACGTCGTGTTGAAATACCGCTCATAAAAACGACTGCCTGCTGTAGCTTGGAATTCTATGAAATTTTGACATAATTTAGATAAAATAAACAACTATTATCTGGTATTTGAATTTTTTCATTAGCGCATAAATTTCCCAACATTCGACGCTTTTAAAAATTACGCTCCAGTTATACGTAGTGCAAATTATTGATATTGTCTATGGACACCAATAAAATTTATATGGACGTGTGTATTTCTTGTCTAACTTGATACTTACCAATTTTTATGAAGTTCGTACAATCAGAACATCGTTAATTATTACCCACAATGAACCACTGTCAAACTATCATGCACAACTCCAGCGTTTATTTGCGACGATCTTTCGGCGGCGTCAATGACCGTTGCCAGAATAAAATCCTGAAATTATCTCAATATACCATAGATGTGACGCACATCGAAAGATTAGTGATTGATATGTGTTATTTTTCCATATTTAGTACAGGGGTTTTCAGCCATGCTACTATTGCTATCAAAACATCGAAATCGCCTTTCGATCTGTAAACGGGGTAATTTTAGATATAATAAAAAACTCGCTGAAGGACACCAAGCTCATCCATCTAATTAAAAAACAATATAAACTATGATTTGTCTTCTTATCTGGTCTGTAATATATTCGTTTCTGACTTTACATTTTTTTGTAGTGCCGGGGGGCGATGAAGTTGTATAAGCTTCTGTAGGGGGGCGATGGTCAAAAAAGTTTGGGAACCACTGGTCTACACCAATGCAGAAAGGTCTCTTATTTTTTAAAATTTTAGACAATGTCAGCCTAATTCTTAAAAAGCAGGAAAGGATTTACAATAGCCTATTAGCAGACTGGTAAAATTGTAATTTCAGTTACCCTGCGATTTGAAATGACTGATTCGAGATTTGAACTAGACTAATCTAAAATAAAATGCATCTGGAAAGACATCTCTAGTGAAACTGCAAGATTAGCTACTGCAGTAGACAGTCATGAACTTTTCATGCCTATATCATTTTCATACATCTTCAATCTGCTAATTCTTTTCAGTTCGAAAGTGGACAAACATATCCTGCCATTTTACCTCTGGGGCATTCACATTTGGCCCTTATCAAGTCTGTCATTGTATCAACACTACAAAAGAATTTCTGGAAAGGTGAGGAACTGGTAGCCTATTGGTGTTTCTTTTTTCGATGGCAATGGTATGGACTGTTACTGTTTAATAAAAAAAGCCTTGCTTATAAATATGAGTATCATGTTACTGTATATAGTGAGCCTCCTTGCACTAAGTTGATTTTTGTGCAATGAATGGACGAAAAAATTCAAACATAGTTTTTTGTCTTTCTATATAACAATTTTCATTGTTTGGAGAGATAATGATATAATCGCGAGCTTCAGAAATGATATAGCCTATAATAAATTTAACTTCTTCTGAGCATTGAATATAATATGAATCTACCACTTTGCTAATGGAATCATTTTACCCCAGCAGATCAAGTTATAACATATGTAAATATGTTGACTTCTCACTCAACTACTTGTTTACATTTTATACCAGCTATGCCATTTTTTTTCAGCCGAATCGCCAAGATAAACAGCCAGTGCAAAAAAAAGTGAGAGGGGGCCACTGCAATGTTGAATCTTTTGGATGGTTTCCACCTATTTGAAGAGATGAAATGAACTATTTTGCTGGCGGAGACGATCACTTCTCGAGTGTATATGATACTATTTCGTTGCTGATATTTGATCACATATTTTATCAAAAGTGATTTCTTTTCAATTGTATTTCATTTCTTCAAGTGCTGGCATGAGGATTAATCGAGTTACTTTGCGGATGTTGTTTAGTTTTACAACTTCTTCTTGTAGTTAAGGTCAGCATCGCTATGGCTGTAAAAATCGGAGACATCTAACCCACTGCTTTTGCCTAGTACATACATTTGGTTGTAAAATTACAAGCGCTTGCAACGATACAATACATCTGAAGTTGTTAATGTTGTTCACAAAGTGCATGGCATCGCTGCTGCCGCGCGTTTGGTTGTAAATCGCCCTTAATATTTTTTACAGTGTACCTAAATAGTGAGGACTCATTTTTGTCCACATGAGTGCACAAGGGAAGAAAAAAAATCGGTAGTGAGAGCAAGAAGAACATGACACGCTTTACATAAATCTAATTCATAACTCTTCCTGTTAATACTGAAAACCTGATACTTTAAGCCTTTCTTATGCAATCTACACAATTAATGCAATTTGCAAGTTTACAACTCTTTTTTCCCCCTGAAGTTTTAAATGAGTCACCCACCGGTGATTGACTTTCAAACAAAGTGAACATGCAAATTTAACAATGAAAAATTGATTTCCATCAAAAAATTATCCAAAACTAATGTATTATTTTAAAAATATATTGAACAACATTTTATTTTTGCATTCTTTCCGTGACATTTGACTTGGCAGTGGAACAATTCAACAATGAAGCAATTTATCAATTGGATTTATTCAGAATAAAAGGAACCTTCAGTGGCATGAGAATTAATCATAGATTACGAACATTTATATTTTTCGACTTTGTGCCATGGTTTCGAACTGCAATACACAATTTGTTCAAAAACTTCATTATTTAGGATTCATATTAGGATGATATGGTTACAGCATTATTAAAAATGATTAAATAAATGTCAGTCAAAACAGCTAAGGATCAAAATCACGCAGATACAGATTTGTAGCAAATAAGCATAAAATTACTTGCTTCAACATATCTTCAACGTCAGAGATTGAGAAGTTGTAACTTGTGTACATGACGATTGAGCTGACGAGTCATTCTGATTATTCGTTTCAAAATTAGTTGACATTGGCTTATCATTTTTTTCTTTTTTAGAGGCGATGTGTCGTTTTCTTTTTCATCGAATTTTTCCACTGTCTTCTTTCTCTTCGGCTGATGTCGTGTAAAAGAAAGCCCTTCAAAAAGTACCTTATATTGATCAAACAAAAAAAGAATATTCTCTGTCGATCTCTGAATTTCCTCATACTTTTAATTAGTTAACACTCATTGGCATGCAATGAGGTTGTAAGTATGACTTTGGATACAATTAGTGCATTACCAGTAATATTGTCAAGCAATATACAAAATTTCTCTTTCTTGGAGGTGATGTGGCGTTTTCTTTTTCATCTAATTTTTCCACTGTCTTCTTTTTCTTCGGCTGATGTCGTGTAAAAGAGAGCCCTTCAAAAAGTAGGCTACCTTGTATTGATCAAACAAAAAAGAATATTCCATGTCGATCTCTGCGATTTCCTCATACTTTTAATTAGGTAACACTCATTGGCATGCAATGAGGTGGTAAGTACGACTTTGAATACAATTAGTGCATCACCAGTAATGTTGTCAAGCAATATACAGAATAGCTTATGGTCAAACCGGTTTTCCATTTGAAAACTTTTTGCACATAACGCGTCAAGCGGATAAATTAGGAAAGACTTGTGGGGTATTTAAATCATGCACGCGAGACGCAGTCTCCACAAGCACTTTTAGCAACAACAAATTGTCGAAGGATATATCCGTGATTTCTCAGATATCTAAGACAGAATAATTTGTGAGTCTGAATACTAAGTTTGTAGGAATAAATGAATTACGTAGCTCTGACTTGATTTCTCTACTTTGCATGCTTACAAATTTATGGAACCCACAAAATCCTATAATTATTTTGCTAGTAAGTTAGTAACGGGATATTCTATACCCATACTAGCAATTTGCTAATCGTTCAAACACGGGAGCATGTGGTGAATGCACGCATTTGCGTATATACAAATCGAAGTTTCGAATTGAGTCACCCACCGGTGACTGACTTCAAAATAAAGTGAACAGACAAATTTAACAAAGATAAATCGATTTCCATCAAAATATATTTTCAAAACTAATCTAACTCAGATTATTTCAAAAATATAAACCTTTTATTTTTGCATTATTTTCGTCACATTTGGCTTGGCAGTGAAACAATTTAACAATAAAGCAACTTAACATTTGAACTTATTCAGAATACAAGGAACTTATAAGTGGCATGATAATTAATTATAGAATACGAACATTTATATTATTCGTTTGTTAGTTCCCTGGTCTTTATGTCATGGTTTCGAAGTGCAATCTATAATTTGTACAGGAACTTCATTATTTAGGATTTACAACAAGATGATATGGTTACAGCATGATTAAAAATGATTGAATAAATGTCTAAACAACTGAAAAGATTAGAATCATGCAGATACAGATTTGTAGCAGATAAGGATAAATATATTTGCTTCAACATATCTTCAACGTCGAGATTGGGAAGGTGTAACTTTTGTTTATGACGTTGAAGTAGACGACTCATTCTGATTATTTGTTACAAAATTAGTTGACAGTGCCTTCTTATTTTTTCTTTTTTTTTCTTTCTTTTTCAGGGTTGATGTGACTTTTTCTTTTTCGTTTTCATCTGATTTTTCCACTTTCTTCTTTTTCTTCCGCTGGGGCGGTGTGAAAGAACGCCCATTGAAAGGTACCTTATATTGATCAAACCATTGAAGAATATCCCCTGGCGATCTCTGTAATAACGCTATTGTGGCATTTACATCTCCTTCAGCTGAATGACGCTCTTGGATTTCAAATTCCCCAACCAAATGTTTGAACATGGTATCCAATTTTTTATTTTCTAATTTTACGCCGTTTTCCATCAAGAGGCGACTCGTTCCAGTCATTACGTCTGCGCTGAAATATCGAGAGAACTTTTTCTCGACGAACATAGAACCTATATGCATTTTCAACACTTTGAAATCAAATCTATTTCCATTGAAAGCAAGAATACACAATGGTTGTGTCTGTCTTTTCAAAAAATCAGCAACCAGTGTGTTTGTGAGCGAACTCCACGGTAGTTTCTGACGTAGCAAGAGATCCTTTCGTGTTAAGCCAGTTAGATCTACTGCTACTGGTTCGATAGTTCTTTTGGGGTCGACAGATATTCGAATCTTATCTTGTATCACTGAATATGGATTCACATCCTCAGTGACACCAAGATGGCATCTCGCAACGGCAGCCATATAAATTTCTGTGATTTTGCGGTCTCGCAGGTCAGTAGTTTCTAGGTCGAATATGACATAGGTTGCCATTTCTGAACATTCTTGGCCATCTACACTGTCTATTATCTGATCTACAAGCGGATTATCAACTCTAGCTTTTTGATCGCTTTTAGAATCTTCCTCCTGATTTTCGCACGATGATCGGCACTTGAAATTTTTGAATTCTTTGTACATGGAGACGACAAAACAAGCTTTAGCTAAAACAGTTGCACTTGACATAGCGTTTGTTTTGATTTGTGTGAAGACTTGTTTGATGCTATTCTCTTTATGTACAGATTAAATTACACGAGCGACTTCTTCAAAATTCACCTGGTATATATTTTCTGCATTACCGATTTCAACAAAATATTTCATAAGCATTGAAATATCACTTTCCACAAACTTACGCCAAACAAAACAAATAGGTACAGCTTGTAATTTTAAGAAGTTCTCAAATAAATTTCTTGAATTGCTTCGTAAAAATTCTTTTTCTTGATCGTAATTTATACGAAGCAGCAACTTATCGTAAATTCTTGGCATCTGGATTATTCCGTCGGTTGATGGCTTTTTAAACACATCGAGAAAATGGACAGCAATCAACTCAATTTCCGTTGTGTCTGGTTGACTTTCACGAGCAAATGATGTAAAAACAAAGCTTCTGATTTCGCACAATTTCATGTTTCAATTAATATTTATTACTCAGTATATAATATTTCTAAACGTAAGGTTTATAGACGGTATTTAGTGATGCTCAATATAGTTCATTACAACGCCATCAAAAATGTGCCTCAGTCACAAAACGCTGACAGATATAGTTTTAGTTAGAGTCATGACATCAAAATATGTAGATAAATTGACGTGAGGCAATACTAATCAACTGCCTGGAAATCGTTCTTTTCAATGGTTTACAGCTGAAGTCTGTCTACTTCTGGCGCAGTCCCAACCTTGACTGACTGCTTGCACAGCAGAACATTGTATTTATATTTGTATACAAGCTGTAATATAGTGTCTCGCAATTCGGCAATAGAACGGGGGGCCTAAATGGAAACATTGGAGTTTTGATATTGAAATGAATAACCGCTTTGCATTTTCTGCAGTGCGTACAATATTATTTTTATTTACCTCAAATAGCATCACTGGATTACTTCAATTAACATCACTGGATATATACTATCGCTAAACCTGATCATGATGTTTATTGTGACCATCATCCCCACTTCCCCTATTTTCAAAGCGCTTATCTTATTGCATACCAATCTAGCAGTCTTGATTAGAATCATTAAACTAGATGTTTATTACACATTCCATATTTCCCGAAATGTTCATTAATTCACCAATCTTAATTGATATCAGTAGACAATAGGTGTATCAGTCAGATAAGCATTTTCGATAGCTGTTACTGTAGCTAAAATGAATCATTTCCTGATACTTAGAGTGTCTACGTCCTCGTGAACTACCTCTTCCAAACCACAATGTAAACAGACATCATTCGGTTATGCACATCGAACTCATTGCAATCAATCAATTCAATCAATTTCATTTTTGGTCACTCTGGCATAAAACAAAACAACAACAAACGGACGAAAATATGCAGGACGAGGACCCGATGGACGAGCATGACTTAAAGACAACGTTAAAAACGTAACGGCCGCAATTTGCATAACACACGCACACACACAATTGTATTGCAAAGAGTGAGTGAATCTGTCAGTAGCCTACCTACGACGATTATCTCGCAATGCCAAATTAAACAAAATGCACACTTAGGTATATTATAAGTAAAGATAAGTTTGAGACTTCAGATATGGGGTATCTAATTGATCTTGTTGGTATTTTTTGTATCCAACTCACTATCAACAAGTTTTCCAATTTTAGAAAATCAAGACGAATCTATTTATATTGCTTATTATAGCTTTATAGTTAGCATGCGGGCAAACTTTGACACGCGGGCCACATTTGGCCCGTTACGTGATTTAATATGGCCCGCCTGATGTTGCCATTAATTTCTACTTATAACCAATACCGCATACACTACATATATATATGTTGTTACTAAACTTTGAATGGTTCAATAAGCTTGTTAGATTATGATCGCAGTCTGTGTAAGTTGTATTTTAGGTTGCAACGTGTATTTTAGGTTGCAACGCGTTCATGTTATGGGGACATTAACAAAATTTCACGTTTTCTCGCTCACTCGAGTATTATTTTAGTGTCGACAAATTTTTAATAAAGCTAGCACATGGTAACCTACTGTTAATATCGCTCTTAGCTGTTTATTGACGTAATGCCCTGATATGAGAGAAGCGATAAAACCTTCCAGCCGTGACGCAAAGTGCGAATCGTATAAATAGCGTGGATTTCAAAATCGCCTGTCAGAAGTCTGAAAATGTCCACTCAGCTCAGACAGGAAATACCCCTTTATAACGACTTATTGGACACGTAGTGGACATAACGATCGTTTCAATATTATGTTGTTGTTGTTGTTGTTCTTGTTCTTGTTCTTTGACACGTTTTTAAAAAGTCGCTTTTCTCTTCGAATACTGGACCAATTGCTTTGAAATTTTCAGTGGTTAAAGATTAATTTTTTCGCTAGAAGGCTATTACTTTTGTTTATTCTTAAATTTTATATGAATCCTATGAGATATGATATTTCATACAAAATTTCGCGGTATTTATTTTTACTCATGGGAACACTGTTTTACACTTATTTCAAGCGGTTTCGCGATCGATTGTCTTGCTCAGTACTACAGCTACTGTAGGTCGGTACTGGTAAGTTGCCATACCGGTACCGTAACGCAGTCAAATTGACTTATTCCTTCCGCGGTATTACTAATGCTGCAATGCAAGTTTTATAGCCTATCGTATGCGGAACGGAATATCAGACCTACAGGTTCGGTACCGGTACTGGTAGCTCAGTACGTAAGTACGATACTGGTACTGGTGCCGGTACCGGTGTCTTACCACAATGAAATTACCGTAACTTATTCTTTCACGGTCCTACCAGTGCAGTAATGCAAGCGTTGTAGCACTTGTAGCCTACTATATTTGTTTATTTTGATGAGAGTCTACTGGAAACAACATAAAATTTGAAAGGGAAGAATTGTTCTGTGATCAATTATCTGTCCTAAAGTGTAAACAACATAAAATTTGCAAGGGAACAACTGTTCTGTGATCAATTACCGTATATGGCCTACAGTGTACAGGTAAGATGCTGCACTGCTAACTCAGTACCGCTTGACACGTTTTTAAAAAGTCGCTTTTCTCTTCGAATACTGGACCAATTGCTTTGAAATTTTTAGTGGTTGAAGATAAAAATTTTCTCCAGAAGGTTATTACTTTTTTTTTCGCTATGACGTCATCAAAATTATGTGACTCTACGTGTCCATATATTTGAGCATAGCTCTCTTGTTATTGTTTTAGCATGTATTTTCAGTCATACTAACTATCCCTGACCATCCCTGGCGCTGTGTTGTTTTGATAAATATGATTTCGACTGCTCCATAGTTGGCAGAGGTATGGAGATTTTTTGTATGTAAAAAAAACGTAAAATTAATGGTAATTTTAACGCGTAAATGCGCGTATGGGATTGTTTACGTCGTTCTACGCGCATTTCCGTCGAAAAAATTTAATTTTTTTGCATTGGGGGTGGTCTGTGCAGTAATAATAAAAGCTGTGACGTCATCAAAATAGGTAATTGGACCTTGAACTTGATAATACTGTAAATACAATTGTGAATTTCAAAGTAATAACCATTTATGCTATAATAGTCGTTTTGGTATTGTTATGTTAGGAAAAACTTGACGAAAACGTTGAAGAAAAAATTATTTAATTAGGAATTAATTATTAACCCTCTACTGTACACAGAATATCTCAAAGTCAAATTTTTTTTTTAAAAATTTTTGAAATTTTTTTGCAAAAATTTTTTTTCGAGGAGTGTGTTTTAAAGATATATTGTTGAATAGAACTCTAGCAGACGCTTTCAAAAAGCCATGAGTAAAGCTTTAGGGCTTAATGGTTGACAAAAAAAAAATAAGTTCAAAAATACCCATAAAATGGTCAGGGATTTGAGCTGTCCCAAGGTTAAGTCCTCTTAACGTCATTATCTGTTGCTGCATCCCTTTTCTGTACATTAATTCGCGAAGATTGATAGCTAAATTATAAAAGACTCATTTTTGTCGACATGAGTAAACCAGGAAAGAGTAAAAATTGATAGCGAGAGCAAAGCCTCTAAACAGGAAAGCATTGTCAAATATTTTTAACAGAAGTTAAATCAACGGCTTTACGTCTTGTATGCTAAAAAGCGTTGCTGTTTTGAAATACTACAATATTCGTCCCCACAATAACAGAAATCATTTACGTCACACTTACATGGTCCGCCAGTCTGGGTGGGCAAAATTCTTTGCCTCTGGTTCGAAAATCTTGCCTACCATTGCTATAAAGCAGGGGTTCCCAAACTTTTTTTAGCTCGGGGCGCAGTAACAACAAGAATAAAAAGTCGCGGCACACTTATTACAAATCAGTTTTATAAACACCTTATTTGTAAATATCATGCGTTTCGGCAGTAAACAAGATTTCGCTGGTCATTTGTAACAAGTCTTTATTGTTTGTAGGTTTTAATTTCTGTCAGAGAAGTGTTGAATCACCTATCGGTGGACATAGAATAATAAATATTTATACAGCGTGACCAAAAAAAATTGAACCCATACAATATGTTCCTAAGGGACTGGGTGCCGTTTTTTGGGTCACTCTATTTATGTGTGATACCAGACTACGCCCATTGCTGATTGCAATATAATAAAGTTCATGTTGCAGTGTTAATTATTGTGATATGGAACCGATAAATGCAAAGCGTCTCACGTGATTTTATCATGCCGCCAGGGCCTTGGAGGTGTGCCCCGAATTTTCACAAAATTCCTTGGATTATATATCACAATAATTAACACTGCAACATGAACTTTATTATATTGCAATCAGCAATGGGCGTAGTCTGGTATCACACATAAATAGAGTGACCCAAAAAACGGCACCCAGTCCCTTAGGAACGGTTCCATTATCTTTGAACCCGCGTACATTTGAACCCGTACATCTGAACCCGTAATTTGAACCCAGAACAATTGCACCTGTATACTATTGCACCTATGGACATTTGCACCTACGGACATTTGAACCCATACATTTCCACCCATGGATCTTAGCACCCGCATATGGATTGAATCCGCGGACATTTGAACCCGTGTACGCTTGCACCCGTGTACATTTGAACCCATGTACATTTGCACCCGCGGACATTTGAACCCGTGTACGTTTGCACCCGCCTACATTTGAACCCATGCACATTTGCACCTGCGGATATTTGAACCCATGTACATTTGAACCCACGAACATTTGCACCCTGGACATTTGCACCCGCGGACATTTGAACCCATGTACATTTGAACCCACGAACATTTGCACCCGCGGACATTTGAACCCACGTATATTTGAACCCGCGTACATTTGAACCAACGGACATTTGCACCCTGGACATTTGCACCCGCGGACATTTGAACCCATGTACATTTGAACCCACGAACATTTGCACCGGCGGACATTTGAACCCATGTATATTTCCACCCACAGACATTTGAACCCACGTATATTTGAACCCGCGTACATTTGAACCCACGGACATTTGAACCCGCGTATGTTTGAACCAACGTATATTATATTTG